TAAAAATATTTTTAAATCAAAATTTACTTATTTCATACTCATGAATTTCCCTGGTAAACTATTTATCTGGATTATTCAAATTTGAAAAATGATTTCCAATATAAAATAAAGCATCATTATACCTTTGTTCTTCAAATCTTACGTCATATGCAAAATAAAAAAACTATTTTTTGTCCGCCCAAGATTATGACAGACACAACAGTTAAGTAGTCAGTATTACAGCAAGTAATACGAGCCAAAACTCTAAAAATAATATACTTCAAAATATTTTAAATTGGCAGAGTTTTTACTAAAAGACAAAATAATTGGCTAGCCAAAATTAGAAATTTTAAGTTTAAAGTGGTATGGAATTGGAATGTATAATGAACCAAGTATATAGTATAGACTAATTAACGAATGTATTTGTGTACATATTTGATACTTCTGCCTGTTGTGTGTTTTTAACATTCGTCATTAATTCAAAATTCAAAATTTACAAAATGTATTGGATTTGGAATAGAAAAAAAAAAAAAAAAAAGAGTTTCTAGTTAATCCTTAGTGTAAACTTCGAAGAACTTTTCCCATAATCTCGTATCATCATAATGAATATTGAGAATTATAACAGCTTACTCATTTTTATAGGCTATAGAATAAAGTTCATAGCACATGTTTATAAAAAATGTTCTTCATAGCTTGAAACAATTCATAGCATCAAAAGTAAAATGAGATCACAAATAAAACTAAACTGATTTTAGGGAATTTCCAGAAGTAAGAGGGCTCAGTGTCACCGTAACAAAATTGCACCATCAAACCGCCATTCCTTTAAATAGGACCCAACCACCTGTAGAAAACATGACCCACCACACTTGACCAAAATGAAACTCGATATTTTGATCTATACTTAGGCACACAGTAACACAAGAATACATTGTAGTATTGATTTTTTATGAGCAAAAAGTATTTTGATCTATGCTAATAATACATAAATAAAAGATAGGGAAAGAACTCCGGTTGGTAACTCCCACCCTCAAATACGCACTAGGATGTAAAGATAATTAAACCAACATCATATCCATAGAAAGGTAATAACTTAAAAATCATACTGACATTATCCCACACAAGGGACAAATTGCTCTTTTTGGCACAATTAATGGAGTTAATTCATAATTCAAAACCAAGAAGAATTCATCATTATTGAATATTTAGTTACAACCCTATATCCTCAAATAATGGCTTTAAATCCTGTTTTCCTATTTAATCACATGCACTGATTTTGATGAGTGACATATATTTAATCTATACTAATATTTCTTGAAGTAAGACTCAGAAAAGAATATTTACAGTAAAACAAAAACAATAAAAAATATATTAAACATTTATCCCATATAGGTGATGAAACAGGAGAAAAAGGAAGATTTAATATTTGGAGATTAAATGGATACATTTGGAAAAAAAAAAAAAAACGGAAGATGTCTCTATGTGTAATGTCCTCTAATTAAAGTACGTGGTTTCATTTTTTTTAGTTCAATTTTTTAAGAATTTTTTTAAAAAAAAATCCAATTTGAAGGTTTTAAAAATTTATTCCTCAAGTTCTTATGTGAAAAATTGTTTAAAGTTATTTCAAAGTTGAATAAATTTCTAAAATAACTTTTGAGAAAATTAATTTATGTTATAAAATAAAAAATATATATTAAGTAAAACTTGGTATTTATTTAAAAGAGAAAATGATGAGAAAGAAAAGTTGACATATTGTTATCATATTAAAGGAATGTGTATAATAAAAGGGGATTAACATATGATCATTCAAGGAAACAAAAGATTCATAGAAATTCTTTTTGTGAAATACATATATATATATATATATATATATATTGTGACTGGCTATTATTATGGTTGAAAATGTCATATTTTACACTCACCTTAATTAAAAAGAATCCTATTTTGGAGTAAGAATAAAATTTCTAAACAAACCTTAATACTTAAATAAATCTTTCCTACTTAATTTACAATTAACAAGTAATTATACTTAAGGTAATTAGGATTGAAGAAAATGAATTAATTAAAATGTTATAAGAATATTTTCATAAGTTGAAATTAATTTTTAATACAATAAAAATGTTGACAAAACGCCACAAGTAGCAAGCTAGCCGTGGACTACTTTATTAATTGATTGAATGATTCAAAATAAATATACGTTTTCATATTAAAGGTTTGTATATAAATGAAGCGGGACTTGATTAGGAGCCGTCGTGTTGGTAATGTAAAGTCTTTTCCTTTTTAGGAATGGGAGGCAAGGGCAGAATAAAAAGGATATCCTTTCCTCTTTGGGTGTTTTGAGGATGAATGAAATGATGGATTCTATCTCTAGTGTAAGTGCACGTGCCCGCCAACATTTTATGTAAAGTTAATTATACCAATTGAAAGTACTCACAGTTGATGAGGATTAAAAATATGTGAAATATATAAATTTCATGGCATTCTTCTTATCCCTAATCCTTTGCTAATTCTTCTTCATCATTAATGCATATCCAAATGCTAAGACCTTTGAACGGTTTCCTGTCCTTCTAAAAACCCAGAAAGTTCCTGAAGAGAATCCTCTCTTCCCTTCGGGTTTTGTTCCTCCTCTTTTTATAGATGAAGAGCCGCCATCAAATGGTGCCCAAAAATCCTTCCTGATCATCATCGCATCAATCTGTCGTCTTCCTCCATTCTCTTGTATTTCTTTCTTCTTCAAATAACGTTCTGCAGCTCATGTTTCGAGATTCTCTTAGGGCGCCTCTCACTTTCTTCGTCCCACGCATGCCTCTGTTGAAGAAAACATGAAGAAGCTGACAATGAGGAGGGCCCCGCTTAGTGTTTTTAATGTTAACCCAGAAAAACGCTGGTTTAATTAAAACCCACACAACGCCGTTTTCGGCGCTTCAGGAATGCTGTTTCTTCCCTGGACTTCTCCCTTGCGATTGGGCTGGGCGTTCTCCTCTTGGACTTGTGGCGCTCTGAGCGTATGGGCTGGAGAAGGGAGAAAAAGTAAAAAACCAAACAAACAAAAGAAGAAGAGGACAAAAAGGGGTAAGAGAAGGGGAAGGAGAAATAGAAGGGCCCAAACCAAACTTTCTTTTTTCTTTTGTGATTTTTTCTTTCCTTTCTTTTTCTTGTTTTCTTTTTTCAATTTTCTTTCTTCCATCTTTTTCTTGGGTGCATCCTTTACATAATGTTAAAAATAATAATAATAATAATAATAACGACAACGAAAAAAAATTAACTAATTCAAACAAAATTAGAGTATTACACCTACAATACGTTATACTCACTAGATCAAATATAGCTTTTTCTCTTAATAAGTGTTGATAATTCTTCCACGCTCCTACTTGCGATTATTTGGTTAATTTTCGCTCAGTCTACTTTTATTTTATAATATTTTTTTTTATGCTAGCTGGACTGGATGTTCTAATGATAGACGTTCTACAAGTAGCTTTGTAATTTATTTTGGTTTAAATTTAATATCTTGACAAGTAAAGAAATAAACAACAATTATGAGGTCATCTATTAAAAGTAAATATAAAGTTATTATTTACAACATATGTTATACGAAGTTAGATTTTTGTTAACCTCTGTTTTAATTTTATGTGTTGGAATATTAAAGCCATTTATCTATTAATAAATCCACATCTCCAAGCAAGAACGACGAATGTAGAGATAGACTCTCACTTTGTTTGATATACAACCATTCAAGTAAGAGACTTTAGCTTCAATTTTATCTCCTATACTAATTAAATTATTAATATTTTCATGAAACGTTTACATCAGTAATATTTCATAATTTTTAGATAATATTAGATTGTTTTCAATGCTTTAGTTTTATGGGAATTGTTAAAGAATTTAAATAATTCAAAAATAGATATAAAATAAAATTTACAAATTCGGTTAATATCAAAATCCACCTTTGGAGTATTTAAAGAACTAAAAAGTGTCAAAGAAATTGAGTAAAACTCAATAATTGAAGCTAGAAGCATGGTAGAATGGGGTAGCACCATTAGACTCTACAATAGCATTTAAACCATTATAAGCAAGGAAATGCCTACTTCTTGCAACTTGTGGTGCTTTATGTACGCATAAATGAGTCTCACATGAACACGGAGTGCATGTGTCTTATATGCACAAGTGTGTCTTGCATGAATATGTACAAGGCACACAAAGTATTTTTTCACAACTTGAAGTGTACTCATGAAATGGGATACAAAACACTTATTAGTGCATGTTCCTTCGAGTAATTTTTTACCTGCAGTTAGAATCTTCTATCCTAATACTTTAAACTTTCAGAAAAGTAATAAACTTCGATTTTTTCGTAAATTCAAGTTGATTTATATTGTTTACAATTCTAACTTTTGGAATTAATCTTATTTGGATTCTAATACTTATGATGCGCTAAAGTTAAGATTTTTTCTTAAATTACAAATACTTATTGAATCAATAGAAATAAATACTAAAGATTCTACAATTTATTCTTCAAATTATATCTCGTTCTATTTTTTTTTTTTTTCACAATTCATCTCTTCAGTGGGTGAAATTGCAAATATATTCACCGAATTATTTTTTAGGTTAACTTTTTAAATATCTAAGGATAAACTTTTGTTATTTTCACCAACATTAGTTTGAAAAAGATATTTTAGAAAAATACCTACCCTTTATGAGCACGGAAAAGTATTGTTGAGAGTCTAATTTTCAAAGTTGACGTATTGAATGACTATGAGAAAAAGAAATATTTTCATAAACAAACACATGCTCTTATACGCGTTCCTCATATATCTATGTGCATCCTTAGTTTTTGAAATTTAGTTGAAACATGCTCTCTAAACATTTAGCCTCCTTTTCAAATCTGGGTTAGATATTAAGGCTATAGAAGTTGGAAAGTATGTGCTCATATTTGTGTTCCTTCTTCAACCTAAAATAGTTTTTCTTGTTTTTATTTAAATACGTATATGAGTTGTGAATAAATTAGGACATTGTATACAACAGATAAATGTGTTGAAGATAAATAAATCAAGTGAAGTATTTTTAACCATCAAATTCTGTCTTAAATCCCAATGATTCTTTTCTTTCAACTTGACTAATATTTATAGTTGTCTTGTCTCTGGTTTTCTATTTGTAGTTTGAAGAGAAAGTTTCTTAATGATTTGAAACTAAACCAACTGTATATTTATATTTATTTTAATCATATTAACTTTTTTACTTTAAAAAAAATAAAAAAAGGACATGAAATTTTTATCTTTAATTAGCTTGATGGAACACATGGCTCCGTCAAGCATGTTGATAAAATTGTATAATGTGAAAAGAAGATAATAGAAAACTAGTATAATATAACACTTTTAGAGAAAAAAATTTCATATATAAATATAGAGATCGCTAAGAAAGAAACACATCTTAAAATACATTGTGTTGTATTGCAAGAACTTTGGTCATCAGTTACAAGATACCCATAAGGCTAAAAGGGAAGTCAATTCTATATTGATTACAAAGAGAGCCTAAAAGCAAATGTAGTGGCCAATTATCAATTATGAAATACATTTCTACTAGTTGAGCTGGAATGGGCCTAGAGTGGTCACCCACAGGTGATCCTATTTTAATCTCCGTCTATCTCAAACCTATTTCCTTAATAAAAAAAGAAAGAGAGCAAGAGCAATCTCCATTCCCGAAGAGTAGAGGGTTAGATGGGTCTGTTATGTCGCTATCTGCAGAGCAAATTTTGTTTAGAGTTGGGGACCCGGACCCGAACCCGGACCCGCAAGCTGTTGTAAGAAGTGTAATTATTAATTATGTGTGTGTAGATAGAAAAAATTCGTTCGCATTAAATTTGTGATTTATGTGCCCAAAAAAGACAAACAAACCATTCTGCGTGCCCTTGTACTGCTTGATGAGCCCAGGTGTTGTTGATTGGGACCACCAATAATCCATACATTTTTATTATTTTTCATCTACTAATTATTTATTTATTAAATGCTCTTTCCTTTCCTTTTTCCTTTTTTTTTTTTTTAAAAAAAAAAAACATACACATAATAATTACAGAATATCTTACATTCCCTAATGCAGCTTTAAAAAAAATATCATAATACGTTTTTGACAGTTAAAAATTTATATATGGTTAACTAAGATGTATGTCGAGTGGTAAAAATGAGGGTCTTGATATGTTTGTGTGTGTGTGTGTTATATATATGGAGGTAGAAGTGCAGTGAATGCATGGCGCAGAGGGAGGATTCAATTGTGTGCAGAAACCCTACGTGAGCACATGGCGTTGACGATGACTTGGCCACCTACCTCCTGATAATTAATTAATTAACTAGGTTAAATTAGATTAGATTAGATTAAATTAAATAGACTAAGTTAGATTAAACAGGAAGTGATGAATTAATGAAAGTGACCTTGCTTCAAACTCAGGCGTACGCCAAACTGAAACGCTCATCTGCGCCATATAAGGCATTGTATTTTCTCTGATACAGAAAGTGATTTATCCCATCTTCTATACATATGTATATATATGTATATACACACACTATCTCCCCATGTAAATAGTACAGAGAATGACATGTTGATTGAGGATATTTTGTGTGTTTGATGAACAATTTTTTTTCTCGTGTTTCTTTTTAAATTCTTAAACCATATAATTAGATAATCTATGTATGTGTCGGTTAAGAAGACACATAATGTATGTCTTTTTACGTCTTATTTTTGAACTGGATGGATTGATTTTCAATGAATGAAGAAAATTAATGTATATTGAGATGAAATAAAAAGCAAGTTATTGCTTAGGTAAAGAGGAGCTGTTGCTTTGCATAGTTAATATTTTGGAATTTAAGGAAATTGAAAGCTACCATTAAACATTTATTTACACGCAATTAAAATATATGTTCGTTGGGTACATTTAATTTCCACTACCAAAATCATTTCATAATAACACTAATTTTTCTTCTTTTGTTTCCTCCAAATTATTTGATTTGTCTAGTTTATTCCGAAGCTGCTTAATCAGCCTAAAACATCTCTAAATATCTTTAATCAAACAATTTCACCATTTGGAGAAAAGAAATATATATAAGCTGTGAGTAACTATGTCTTATTTGTAAATAAATAAAGATTCCTTGATGTGAATTTTTTCACGTGCCTTTACTTCAAGATCAATTAGCACTAAGATTATCAAGAAATAAATATACACAGCACAAATTCATGATATATATATATATATATATATATATATATATAGTGTTTGAAACTGAAATTTACAACATCTTGGTAATACAGCTAAAAACAAACAACTCAAAATTCATATAATTAATTAGGGTATTTTTCTGGGATCAGTAAACAAGCTGGATATGTATCTAAATAATTCTATTATCATTTCTTTGCCTCTAAGAATCTCCATTGCATATATATTATTCCACTGAAAAAAATATAATGATACAAAAAACTTGACTTAGTATTATATAGACATATATATTTATAATATCAAAGTGGCAAAACAGTCTACTATACAATTACAATATTAATAGACGTACAACTATACTAGCCAACTAACTTAATGCTAATATTCTCATTATGTATTTCGTTAATGATAGAATGAGACATTTAAAAAGAAGTAAAATAAGAAAAATAGAGTGAATATCAATCAAGAAAGATAAGGAAAAAGAAAAATAAGAGCTATCATGTATTTTCTTTTTGGTTTTCTTTTTTTTTTTTTTTTCAAATTTAAGATCGATCAACAGCTCCCAAAGTCCCTAAGCGAGAAGGGAGAGGTCTTGTCTGGCATGTTTCCAGCATGGCGTAGCCCTAGAGTGAGTGACACGTCACCGGCGGTGGTCCCGAAGCTAATAAGAGCAGAGCTAATGTCAGCGTTAGCAGACGACGAGGTGGTCCCATAATCCGGTGGTAGCATGGTGCCACGTCGACAGCTGTCGTCGACCATAGGTATTCTGTGGTGGAGGCTGTCGGAGTCACTATACGGTGCGGCGTCTGTGACGGCGATCGCGGTGGAGGCGGCGGCGGTGGTTGAGGGGTGTTTGGGTTGGATATCTGATAAGGACTGTCTATTGATTGCAATGAGTGAAGGGTCGCTTTCTTGGGCATTGATATCGGATCTTTTGCCTGTTGGTGTTGTTGATGAATGATGCTGCTGCTGCTGAAGGCGTTGGTGTTTGTGCATTGTTTGGGGTTTTTTTCAGTCTCTTCTTCTTCTCTCTTTGTTCTGTGGTACATTTCTCAACCATCGGCTTCCATAAACGCACCCTTGCGTTAATGAACCAGTTTGATACTGAAAATCAGCAAACCCATTTCTTAAGATTCTTAAAGTTTAGAAAAAGAAGAACTTGCCGCTGTAAAACTGTGGGTATATATATACATGTATGTATATGTGTGTATGTGTATGTGTGTGTGTGAGGAGGAGTAATTAATGGGTGGACTCCATTTATTGCGACCACATACGTTTTTTATTACAGATAAGTTATAAATTACACCAAGACATAGGACTTGGACCAAACATTTGTTTTATTCCCACTTTTAAATGGCAGATGAGTTTCAATTTTGGATTGCATGCAGAAAAGGTTTATTATTCATTAAATAATTAACCCTGCATTTTAAAAAGGAAATGATTAGTACGTAATACATTATGTTGAACTTGAAGATGATGCCAAAAAAATCTGATCTGGGTAAAAAGGGCAAGACAATTTTACCCTATATTTTTTTCATAAAATAGTGTGTTTTTTATTTTATTTTTTGTTTATCGTGTGGTTGGATTGGTGTTAGATAAAGCTGCAAAGTCTCATGTACTTGCGTTTCTGCTAGCTGCTCTGCTATTAAATATATAGTTTTAAAGAGTTTCACCGCTGGCTGAGTATTTATGTCTCTCAATTCCAGAATCTATGTCCCCAGTAATCATCCAAACAAAAACAAAATAGCTAAGAAACCCACATGTTGTTTCTCTTTTTCAGTAGGTTAAAAAAAAAAAAAGAAAGAGAAAAAAACGAAACCATGCAAATTAATTATGCTCCATCAGCTTCCTTAACCCTTTCTTCTTCTTTCTCACACTTCATTCTGGTTTTTCAATTATGCAGAGCAGCAGAAGCCATAAATCTTTTTCCCTCATTAATTTTTATTGTACGTAACTACATGGTGTAGACTAGGGCTTTTTCTGTATTTACAGTTTTGTAGTGCGTGCGTGAGAGAGATGGGGAGGTAGCTAACCTGATTTCTCGATAAACCAGTCTGTCGAGCCAAGAGGTGCTTATCTGCATCGCTTGGATACCTGAGAAAGAGACCAGAAAATGACATGAGACTCCTTCTTCCACCTTTATACAAGGGATTAATTCGAGACCTTTCTTCTTTCGCTGCATGGGCGTCAGAATCTTAAACCATCACTCCACCAACTCAGAATCAACACAAAGACTTCTCACAGCATGTGGAATGGAGTTATTACTTTTAATAAACTTGTTTTTCTTCTCTTAATTTTCTTATAGCTATTCACTAGGGAGGTGACTAACTAAAACTTTAATGAATCACCAGAAAAAATTAAAAGAAAAAGAAAAAAAAAGCAGTGAGCAAACCAACACCCTTTTAACAGCTTTTAGCTGACAACATAACATCCCAACCCCACACTGCATCACTATTGCTCTATATATGCACTCATCAGAAGAGAAAAGTGTTATGCAGCATCTGGGTTTTCGTGATTCCAAGTCTACTACTAATATACGCTCACTTTATATCATATGTGTACTAGTAATCGTTTTTAATTAGTTAAACTGTCCAATTTTTCCTTTTTTTTTAAAAAAAGGAAGTTACTTTACTAGTTATTATTATAGATATATGAGAGAGAGAGAGAGAGAGAGAGAGGATAGTAAATGGGTGAGTAGTAAAGGTGAACGTACGGGTGAAGAAAATGCTCAAAAAGCCAGGCTCTCAAAATGTTGACAGAGCGCTCAGGCAAGCCTCTTTGTGGTCTCCATGCTTCCTGTTCCATCATCCCCATTTGATGAAACGCTCTTTGCTGTCTCAGACTTTGCTCCAGCAAACGTAGTCTTGGGGTCTCTCCTTTTGTTATCCCAGATGTGCCTGCGCCGTCTTTCTCTCCTAACAGCTCGCAGCTGTGTTTCAATTGGGCCGAAATTGCATCTTTCAGACACCGAAAGTGCCGGGACATTGCCTTCTGGGCAAGAGCAGTGTAGGGCACTGCTGCTCCAAAACCCATCACTAGATCAAATGAGTTTACTACCATTTGCATTTGTTCACAGTAATGGTTGTATCTCCGATCTACCTGCAAACGTATATGAGCCATTAATATTTGTCTCCTACTATCCAAATTTATTTATAAGTTCTTTGAATGAAAGATACAGTTTAACTGAAATGGAGGAAAAACAAACGAGTGCGTGCCATTGATTTGATAGTCAAGGATACAGTGAGGAAGATAATTTAGAGTTTTCTAAAATAAAAAATTATTTTGAAAAGACTTGGTCTTGGACGTTGTACATGCTAGGAGAGTAGATAAGCTGGGTCTTGATGAGCGTTGTCAATATCTTCTCAAATGTAGCCCAATTGAGAGGCTAGTGTGACTATAAACATAAACAAAGGAAAAAAGAAGAAAGAAAGAGATAACAACTACCCTACTCAGGTCAACCATATATAAAAAAATACAAATCAATAGCTTTTCTGGAATATTACCATGATGGGTATATGAAAATCTATAGCAACTGTAGCTTCATAGTAGCTTTCTTACGTAATATACGGTGAGCTAATGGTCATCTTCCCAAACAGGAGGAACGTCGTTTCTTTCTGATTAACAGACAAATACATTCACCTAAATGCTCTTTTGGTATTTTTACCATACACTGGTAAATTAAATTAGACTCAATCGAATAGAAAATGGCAACTCTACCTCCTAGATCCTACGCAACCCTATTTCACCAACAGCCGGCTTTTCCCCATATGGGTTTCTTTAAAACAAAATCATTCAAATTTTCTATTTTGTGATTTTGAAAAACAAAAGATTTGAGTTGGGAAAGAAATTAAACAAGAATTGGTTTCTTGACTCTTGATGGAAAGATGAAGGGAGAAGAGATGATATATACATGCCTCGTCAAGCATGGATAAAAGTTTGACTTTCCGTCTTTGATGCTCAATTCTATCAGCTGCAGATAAAGGAGGGAGATCTTTGGCTGACGAAGAAGATCCACCATTACCAGGGTTTGAACTAGGGTTTGTGCTGTGCCTACCCAACTTATTCTTCTTGAACTGACCTCTACCAACACTGCAGAACTCTTCCAACAGTTCTTGTGCGGCTTTCACGTACTTTGAATTCCTAAGCACGTTTACTGCTGCTACTGAGGACCCGAATCCGACATGAACCTGATGGGTTTGACCCACTCCACCTTGCGAATGTAATGATTGGTGGTGGATACCCAAATTCTTGTACTGGTATTGACCAGAAGACGACCCTCCTCCTCCTCCTCCTCCTTGACTGTAATACAATAACCCACCATCCCCCATCCTCAGTTCTTCTACTTTTGCCGCCTCCAGGTGCTGCAAAGATGATGAAAGTGATAAAGAAAGGCCTTGCCCTTCTACCACGCCTCCAATTTCATTTGGGCGACTGCTTTCAGCAACCCATGTGAATTGTGGTTGAGGCAGTACCGTGCTGGTACCGAAAGCACCACCTGCTCCTGATACATTAAAGCCTTGAAGAGTAGTAGATGGATTGGGTAGCAACATGTGAAGTGTGGAGGAAGTTTCAGGAGGCGACGGAGATGGTGATCTTGGCTGTGGATTCATCAGAAAAAGCTGCATAGCCGCCGCCGAATCCGCATGAATCCCCGAAATCTGATGATGATGCTGCTGCTGCTGACCTAATTCGCGGTTCTTGTTGTTGTACCAATCGGGTCTAGTTGGTCGATAATTAGAGTCCAGTAATTCCCCGGAGGCCGGAGGAAAGTTAAACATTTCCGATAGCATCCCAGCTGTTTCGTAGACAGCAGGAAGGGCAGCAGACTGATCATCCTCATCAATTCCTACCAATGGCGGCGGAGGATGCTCAAACCCTTGAACTCTGACTTTATCTCTCCGGATCTGCAGCTGTGACTGTTGCTGTTGCTGTTGCTGATCTTGGTGCGATCTCTCGAAGCCATTCGAGAAGCTGAAGATGCCTGCTTGTTGATACTCCTGGGACATAGAATTGGACTTGGGGGAGGAGGAGGAGTGAGAGAAAATGGCTATTCCCATGTCATCACTATTTTCTTCTTCATCATCTCACTTGTGTTTCACGTAGCATCTGCAGAATTCTCTCCTTTCCCTCTGGGTGGTTGAAAATTCTGGGGAGAGAGAGAGAGAGAGAGAGAGAGAGAGAGAGAAGTCAGGCAGGAGAAAGACAAAGAAGACCCATCTTCTGTTAGTGTTGTTTATCAAGGAATATAAATATATAGATAGCGATGAAGATTGAATTGTATCAGTACGAGAGGAAACAGGAAACCCAAAAAGAGAAGATGAAAAAGAAAAAGTATCAATTGGGTCTGTAATTGGTTCTTTATTATTTTTTTTTTCCCTCTTGGTGGTTGATTTCCTTAGTAACCTCTCTCTCTCTCTCTCTTGTTGATGCTGTGTATTAATATGTATAAATTTATTTATATGCATATACACAACACACACAAACACACACACACATACACATATATACCTCTTAGAGTTGCAGAGTATGAAAGGATGTAAAGCTCTCAGACATCGTTTTCCCTTCTGTGGTATTGAAAGCTTCTTGAATTCTTCTCTCTCTCTCTCTCTGTTGTCGTCTGTCTGTCGTCTCTTTCTTTCTCTATCTCTCCTTTTCTTTCTCTTTGCAGTAGCAAGTGTTTTTTGGCAATCAGCTCGTGGAAAGAGAGGTGAAGTAAACCGTTTAAAGAACCCAAAAAAAAAATATAAGCAAGCAAATGGAGGCTTACAGGACTGATATCTCTCTCAACCGTAGCACTGCCCCAAACACAGAGGAGACCTAGAAAGAAAACAGGTCGCTATTCTTCCTTCCTCACCTTTTTTCCCTTAAGAAAAAAAAAAAAGAAAAAAACTTTATTATTATTATTTATTTTCTACAATTAACTTTATTATAAAAACAAAGCAAATTAAAAACAAAAACGAAGACTTGAATTGTAATTTAGTAATCTCTCGAAATGCCTTAAATACCCTTATCTACGTACATAATATAAATAATTTTGGGAGGGAAAATGACCAAAATGTAATGAAGGGTATTATTGTAATTTCAAATGGGCTTTGAAAACCAACACAAACTACGGAATAAAATAAAGATAAGGTGAGTACAAAGTCATCTCAAATGATCCAAACTACCACCATGCTTTTCCAAATTGAAATTACCAAAATGCCCACCCAATAATTTGGGGAATGGGTGAATTGGATATTAGCTGGTGAGGGGTGCATGGTAATTTCCATGCATTAATATCTAGATAAGTACATCATAAGATAAGCAGATTGTATTTATAAACCCAACAACGCCTGCACGCAAACGATGGCACGTGCGAAAGACAAGTTAGGTGTGTGTGGGGTTTGTAAAGGCCTGAAAATCACTTATAACCGCTTTCTGGTTTGGCAATATCAAGATGCCCATACCCTCTTTTTCTCTATATTATGTTTATAGAAAATTTTATAATCAAAATTAATTAATACTTATACGGTTTATTTTTATTGTATAATTATATAATCAAATTTGTAATATACCCATTAACTGTCTTTTTTTTTTTTTTTTTTTTTTTTTCTAGAAAGTATTGAGCATTTTGTATGTTATTATTATTATCAGCAGGCAGTGTGTGGGTACTATTATATCAATAAAATTTATAAATTTTCATGTATTATAATAATTATAATTAAATTCCTAATAATGGGTTGCAACTTTTTAATTCTATAATTGATTATATTGCATTACGAAATTAATTAGATTATTTTACAGAATTATTGAATCCTACAAAACATGTTTAGGTGTTTTGATTTCTACTTATGTTCAATTATTTATTGATGAGCCAATGTAATCCTAAGCAATTGACTCATTAATTAATTCAACCCCTCAACTTCATGCCTTTTTATATCGATATCAACCACATATAAAAAATGTATCGATTAAACTTTTTTTTTATTTTTCCCTCAATCATTATATTATTATTCTTGAAGTGATAGGAACCCATATAATTACTAAAATTATACACTAACGTATTCCGGTATTGTCTTGCCAACATTGATGACATCCTTGCTACTCATTAATTGGTTAATTTATATGGTGAGTAATAAAAGAAACTCATTTAGTAACTGGTTTTGATTGCGCGAGTAAAGGGATGAGAATTCAAACGGCATAAATTTGAAATCTACTAAATAATTTAGTTGAGAGCTATGCTATTTAATTACTAAAGTCAGTTTCTTTAACAAGTTAAATTAATTTATTTGTGGAACCTTTTTTTTTTCACATTACAAAGAAATAAATAAATTATCAATTTGCTCACTGAAACATAACACATCTTATAATTTGATTTAGAAAGTTAAGAATATTTTGTTTCAGTGGATGTTATCTTCATTGAAGCAGAGTTCCCACACGCCAACAATAATGTAGATTTCTTTTTGACCAAAGATATGGTTGCAAATTACTTTGCAAATAATAAGAACTCATATGTACAGGATGACATGGAGGAGCAGTAAGCTCCAAGCTCAGGTGTGGAGCACGAGGTGAATACTGAGATGGGTCATGATGAAAAGAGTCTGTCTACTGATGTGCATGCTTGAGTAAGAGACTGGGGGGTATTGATATAGGAGGAACCATGGTGTCTGATGAATAACTTGGCAAAGGAAAAAGGTTTAAGAAACCTTTTAATAGTTTGAAGGTCTATGTGACACATACCATTCGAGTAAACCCATCAGCAAGTTCATTGTTCCAATCCAAGTCCTTAGGTATACTGTATCTTATAGCACATTACGTGAATTGGGATAAATTTTCTAATGTGAGCAAGGAAAGAGAAAACTCCATGGAATTTTCTTTCCTAATCTCACCGGAAATCTTTCTTTTTAAGAGGAAAAATTAGCCAAGGAAGGAAATTGGTCCTAAATCGCAAGATATCTTGAGAAATAAAAAAACTCTTGAATATCAAATCTTACAGAAAAGGAAAATACTCGAGGAAGATGAAAATATTTTACCAGAATTTTTTCTCCGAAATCTCTATAATTAATTAACATCTTCTCTATTTAAGAAGGAAGATTATATCTATCATATTTTATGTATTTCTTTTAATTTTATTAGTTTTCTTATTCTATTCTATATATAATTTCTTATGTAATTTCTCAATCAAATTAGAATATTATTTTTTTACTATTCACATGGCTTATACTGATAAATAGATCATCAAGTTTTACTTGTTATCATTCAAGTTTGAATAATAAAATTATGGAGTTTTTAGCTTTCAACTAGTGATGTTTTCTTCAACCTTTTGTTGAGTGGGGAATTGATGTTTACTTAGTAAGGCAACTCATGATAATTTCATCAATTTCTTTTCTGAATTGATTTTAACTTATCAAGATTTTCTTTGTGGCATTCTAATCAATTTAATTATTCCTATTATCTTGGTTTTCACTCTCTTGTTGGGTACAAGTTAAGTAAGGAAGGTTTATTTAAGGTTTTGAGTTTCTAGTTGCTGATTTATATGTGAGATTTTTTATCATGTTGGTTGATCCCGGGTTCCACATCATTATATGTGGGGGTTTTTGGATTCTGTTAGTTGATCTTGAGTTTCACATGTTTGGTATCAGAGCTTACACTCAAGATAAATCTTACTATTTAGCATCTTTTATCCTTACATTTTTTTTTTATTCTTCATAGTGAAAAAAAAGAAAAAAAATATTTTGCATCTATTCATACACATAAAAAAACACAAAATAAAAAAAAATCATATTC